CTGGGCAGTGGAGGAGAGGGTGCCTGAACTGGCCTTGTCCCATAGTCAGACTGGTAACTATCTTGAATATCACCATAGAACCTTCGTCCGGCAATGGATGGAGATAGAGATAGAGACCCACATTGGAGCACTGGACTGAGCTCCCAAGGTCCAGTTGAAGAGCAGAAAGAATATAAGCAAGGAAGTCAGGACCACGAGGGATTCGTCCACCCATTGAGACAGTGTGCCTGATCTAATGGGAGCTCACCAAGGCCAGCTGGACTGGGACTGAATGAGCATAGGATCAAACTGAACCCTCTGAATGTGGGTGACAATTGGGGCAGACTGAGAAGCCAATGATAATGGAACTGGGTTTTGATCCTACTGCATGTACTGGCTTTTTGGGGATCGTAGTCTATTTGGATGCACACCTTCCTAGGCCTGGATGGAGTGGGGAGGACCTTGGACTTCCCACAGGGTAGGGTACCCTGCCCTCTCTTAGGACTGGAGGGGGAGGGGAGAGCATGAGTGGGGGAGTGGGAGGGAAATGCAAGGAAGGGAGGAAGTGGAAATTTTGAATGGTATTATTTATAATAAAAAAATCTTCAAAATCTTAGAGAAACACAACAAAATTAGGATAAATTATTCTGAATAACGAACTGCTGGAGGTATCACCATCACAGATTTCAAACTATACAGCTATAGTAATTAAAACAGAATTGTAATGTGATTTTTAAAAAAGACACATTGATCAGTGGAATAGAATTGAAGAAGCAGACATAATTTTATATACCTACAGACGCATGATTATTTACAAAGAAGCTAAAAATAAACACAGGGGGAAAGACAGCATCTTCAACAAATGGTGGTGGTTCAGCTGAGTAGCTGCCTCAGAAGAATGCAAATAAATTTGCACTTATCACTTTGCCAAACTCACCTCCAAATGCATCAAGGACCTCAACATAAGATCAGATACTCTGAGACGGATAGAAAAGCGAGCAGCGAATAAGCTTGAACTCAAAGGATTAGGAACAGAATTTCTAAACAGGATAGTGGTAGCACAGGCATTAAGCCCAACAATTAACAAATGGAGCCTAATGAAGCTAAAAAGCTTCTGTACAGCAAAGGACACTATCATTCTATCAATGTGGCAGCCTAGAGATCCTTACCAATTATACAACTGGAATAAGGTTAATATCTCGAGTAAACAAGGAGAAAAAAACCTGAACACCAAAAAAATAAATAGCCCAATTTAAAAATGGGATGTAGAACTAAACAGAGTTCTCAAAAGATGAAACTCAAATGGCCGAGAAACACTTAAAGAAATGCTCAACATCCTTTGCCTTCAGGGAAATGCAAATTAAAATGGCTTTGAGATTTTATCTTACCCCAGTTAGAATGGCCAAGATCGATGAAACAAATGACAGCACATGGTAGTTTGAATGCAGGGAACGAGAGAATTTATCCATTATTGGTGAGAGTGCAAACTGGGATGGTCACTATGGAAATGAGTGCGGAGGTTTCTCAAAAAGCTGAAAATCAATCTACCACAAGCTCAGCTCTAACAATCTTGGGCAGATACCCAAAGGACTCTCCATCCCACTACAGAGATAATTGCTCATGCATGTTCATTGCTGCTTTATTCATAATAGCCAGAAATTGGAAACAACCTGGACACCCATCAACTGATGAATGGATAATGAAAATGTGCTACATTTACACAGCAGAACGCTATTCATTTGTTAAGAAAAATCAAATTATGACATTTGAAGGTAAATGGATGGAACTAGAAAAAAAAAACCATCATGACTAAGGTACTCCAGACCGAAACAAAACAAAAAAAATAAAATATTGCAACTTTTCTCTTAAATGCTGATGTTAGCTTTTAGACTTTCTATATGTGTATTTCCATCCAAAGAACCACAGAAGTTAAATATCTAGTACGTGGTCACGGGAAGGGAGGTCTTTTAAGACATGTGAAATAAATAGTATAGTGTTATAAAGAAATAAAGGGGAAACTAGAACAGGAGGATTCAATGGAGAGGAGAATGGGAATGCAGAGTAAAGGAAGGAATATAGAGACTGACAACTAACACTAAAGGCCACTTGAAAAACCATATGGGTTCCTACTCCTAAAGATGCTTCCTAAAATATACACAAATGTGGGAAGAATTTAAATGGAGTCACCATGGAGACAATGCCCCAACTAGATGTCTTATGCCACCAAGTAAAACCTCCAGTGCCAGGAATTGGTTACATCTTGTTGAGTCATTGGCCAAATGGGTCTCATAGACTCTCCCAACTATCATAGGCTAGTGTCAAGATTATTGGTTACTCTCCATAACCTGATGGGAAGTCCTTATTGCTGAAGACAACACTGATTTAGGTCATCTAACATAGGAGAAATCAAGTTGGTGCCTAATGAGAAGTTTCACTCCTACTTATTAGCATTCACAGTGCTGCAAGATACTTTGCATGCTACTGGAGGAGAAAAGCAATCATCAATTTCACCCAGTTAAAAACCCTGTGACCTAAAAGAGAGACTTGTTGCCACACTGGTGCAACACTGGCACAAAAGTTATAGGAGTAACCAACCACTTTTTTTTATTGGATTTAATGCCCACTCCATGTGATAGAACCCATACCTGACACTACTAAAGTGGCCAATAACCTGAGACTAGACAGGTCATGGGCCCGGGGGAAAGCCTACTACTAACATTCTGCTAATTGAACATAGCAATCAAACGACTCCTAATGACAGGTTGCTATAGTCATAGAGCACAGAATCACTAAATCCTCATCAGAAAAGCTTCGTCTTGAAGTAGGTAATAACCAATTAACCAAGAGCTCTACAGTGGGATGATGTACTGAGAGAGGCTTTGGAGCATTTAGTCCGAAGTGGGATGTCTTTATTGAACCCCTCCTCTCAAGGATCAGTGATCCGTGGGAAAGAAAAGGAGGAAAGATTGTAAGAGCCAGGGATGGTGGATGGCTCCTAGGAAATAGTCCCAGCAGAACTGATCCACATATGAACCCACAGAGACTGGGACAGCATGTACATGCCCTATGCAAGTTCAACCCAGACAAAGTTGAACCCAGCACTGAGAAGGGGAAGTAGAGACAAAATTCCTCCCCAACCAAGAAACTATTTGCAGTCAATACCTGCTGGGAAAGGAAAATCAGTTTTCTCCAATGGAGCATCACTGGGAATATCAACCACACTGCAGGGCAGGCCCCATGCTCAGGAATAGTTGCCCAACACAAAACGAGCTCCATGGATTTTGGGCGCATTTTTTTTTTATTTTGGGTTTTGTATTGATTTGGTCTGGGTTTTCTCTTATTGATTTTCTTCTTTGTTTTCATGTTTGTTTTTTGCTTTTTCTGTTTTTTTTTTTTTTTTTGAGAAAGAGCACATGAAGTTGTGTGGTTAAGGAGGAGCTGGGGGAGGGGGAAGAATATGATAAAAATATATTGTATGAAAATAATTTTTAGGGGCTGGAGAGATGACTCAGTGGTTAAGAGCACCGGCTACTCTTTCAGAGGACCCGGGTTAAATTTCCAGCACCCACATGGCAGCTCACAACTGTCTGTAATTCCTGTTCCAGGGAATCCGACACCCTCACACAGATATATATGCAGGCAAAATACTAATGTGCATAAAATAAAATTAAATAAAATATTTGCCGGGCAGTGGTGGCACATGCCTTTAATCCCAGCACTCAGGAGGCAGACACAGGTGGATCTCTTTAAGTTCAGGGCAAGCCTAGTCTACAAGAGCTAGTTCCAGAACAGGCTCCAAAGCTATAGAGAAACCCTGTCTTGAAAAACCAAAAAGATAATAATAATAAAATAAAAATTTAAAATAAGGACATATTTTTTAAAAAAATATAAAAAATAAACACATACAAACTAAAACAATGAAAGACGTTCAGTGTCAGGAATTTATTCAGAGTTGTTAGCCAGTGAGGTCCCACAGACCACCCCCAGAAACAATACAGGCCATGGCTATGGCTCTTGGTTACCCCCCAGAACTTGACAGCAAGCTTCTCTTGCTGAAGATACCACATACTTGAATCACTGAACATAGAGAAATCAAGTTGTTATTAACCTGGAAGCCTCACCCTATTGGCTAGCTTTCATGGTGATGGAAAATTCTATACATACTACCGGAGTAGAAAAGTAAACCTCAGTCACACTCAGCTGTGAACCCTATCAGCTACAATAATAACTGGTCTGGAAAGATACGCCCATTGGTCCAGTAATGACTTCAGCAGCATGATGCGAGTGACCAACTAATTTCCGATTGGATATAAGTCCCACTCCACAAGATGAAACGCATACCTAACATCATTATTGGGCCAATAACCTATGACTAGACAGGTCATAGGCCCTAGGGGAGAACCTCTTACTATGAGCTTCAGGAAGAGGGAGAAAAAGTTTTCTCTAGGGCTGGAGAGATGGCTCAGAGGTTAAGAGCACTGACTGCTCTTGCAGAGGTCCTGAGTTCAATTCCCAGCAACCACATGGTGGCTCACAGCCATCTATAATGAGATCTGGTGCCCTCTTCTGGCACGCAAGCATACATGGAAGGAATGTTGTATGCATAATAAATAAATAAATCTTTAAAAAAAAAAAAAAGTTTTCTCTAAGAGCGTTACCCCTAGCTAGTCGACTACACTTCAGTGAAAGACTACACATTCCAAGAATAACTGGGCAGCACAGATTGGTCTTGACGAATGTTTTTCAAAGGGGTACAAAATTGGGTGAATAAGAAACAAATCAAAACATGGTGTATGAAACTCACAAAGAGCTAATAAAAATTAAAATTAAAAATGTTTTTTTATTTTTAAAACATATATATATGTGTGTGTGTGCAGTAGAACATATTCATATTTAGAAAGCAATTGGACAGCATGACCATTTAGCAAAATAACAATAGCAGGTTCTACCCTAGGGTCTATGACCTTCCCTGCCTTGAGCTTTTGACGCGAATTACAGTACCTTGAACGAAAATCCCTTCAATGGAGCAGGCCTAAGTCCAGTCAGAAAGTGCTTCATTACCGCATAAAAAGTGTAGCGCTATCGCACCAGCGGGTACTTCTTGCCTGGCAGGTAGGTCATAATTGCAGCACGCAAGGTCCACACTTGGGAAGCCCACTGATAGCTTTTCTCCCTCAGCTACCAGCGAGTGAGCATCTTCTGGCACTACGAAAACTGGCCAGAAAGGAAGAAAACGCTTCCTGATCAGTTTGAGATTGATTTCTCTATGCCCTGCAACAAAAGTGTGTGGTGGGATCTTACTGGATAGTTACAGTGGGTAACCGCGGGCAGGCAAGAGCAATAGTCTGTGTTAGTTTGGAGCCACCTGGGGCTTCCTTGACCAAAACCTCACAGGGAGGTAGCCTGTGCCCTGCACTGCAGTTTTTATCTTGAGCCCTGGCCAAGACCTTCAGTACAAGTTGAATGAAACTGGTTAGAGTGAGCAGCCTAGTCCTGTTCCCAAGCTTTGCTTCTCTGTTGCCGCAATAAACTCTGGACAAAACCAAATTGAGAAGGAACAGATTGATTCTGTCTTACATTTCCACGTCCATCACTGAGGGAGATCAGGATAGGAATATAGGAGCAGGGGCTGGACCAGAGACCACAGAGAAATGCCACTTGCCAGCCTGCTCTCCAAGGCTTGCTCTGCTTGCTTTCTAATACAAACCAGGACCACTTGCCTAGGAGAAAATGCCCCATAGGCATGCCCACAGGCCAGTGTGCTCCAGGCAGTTCCTTAAGTGAAAGTCCCTCTTTCCAGGTGACATTACTTTGTATCTTGACAAAGGCTAACCAGCACGGAAAGCATTCAATATTTCCCCATTAGGTATGAAGTCTGAAAGCATGGTATTTTAATAACCTTCTTTAAATTCTTAGCAAACTTAAGTTTGTTATGAGATTTTTTTTGCTTGTTTGTTAAGTTGCTTTTCTTTTGTGCCTGTTGACCAATCATAATTTTTCTCCAATCCCCTGAAGAATTTTATAAAATTAGAAAGTTGGGGGCTCTCTGAATATTTTGCAGAACTTAGCATTGAACAATCATGCACACACAGGCTGGAGGAGAACTTTAGATGTTTCTGTCTATTGCTCTCCACATAAACGCCTTGAGAAAGGGTCTCGCACTGAACTGGAAGCACACTGTGTTTTGGCTAGGCTGGCTGGCCAGCAAATTCTATGGATTCACTTGCCTCTGCCCACCAATGGTAGAGTTACAGGCAGACACAGCCATGCCACACTTTTACATGGTGGCTATGGATTTGAACTCAGGTCTTTGCACTTGCAGAGCAAGTGTTCTTATCCACTGAGGCCATCTCCCTAGCCTCCTAGAGATTTCTCTGTATAAACCTTTTAAACTTATAAATTCGGTTTGTTTAGTAGTTACGATTGCTATAATCGTCTATAATTTCTGTGACTTTTAGTAAATTTTATATGCCAAGAATTTTTCTGCCATATCAAAATTTTCAAATTTGCAAGCATAAAATTATAATACTAATAGCCTCTCATTATAACGCAGTGTTATACGGTGTAGTGACCCCTTTGTTCCTGACACTTTTTGCATGCTTTCTTACTCTCTGAATCATGATGTCTCAAGGATTCATCAAAGAACCATTAACTTTATTGATCTTCTTCTCTGGTGTGGCTCTATTTTCTATTCCTTTTCTAACTTAAGACAGAAATCTAGCTCTTCCTTTTTAAAAATATATGAATTTAAAGCTATGAAATCCTCCCTGCACACAGCCTTAGAGGAATCTCACAAGATTTCAGGTGAAGATTTTCATTCTAGGTCGGTCCAAAGCATTTCCTAATTTCCACTGAGAATTTATGTTCAGTCCATAGGATTTTATCCTTTTCAAAGCATGGTGCCCAAATTTGAGAGATATAAAAATAGCCACCAAAAGGTTTTCTAAAAAATGTTTCGCACCTCTCCCACCTACCAGATTTATATTTCCAGGGAGCAAGCCTTGGGACCTACATCTCACAAGTCCCAGAGGGATGCAGTCGCAGGTGCTTGGCTTCCAGGCCCACAGGTTGGTAGCAGATCATGGGCTTCATAAGAGCAGGCCGCAAGTCTGATCCACCCGAGTCATCTGAGGCCAGCACTGGACCTACATAAAGCTGTGCTTAATGAATGAATCAACAAATGGGGGAAGAAGACAAATAAAATACACTTTTTATATCAAGAGAATTGGATTTGTTGAATGCTGTGAGTTAGAGGAACCACTACAGCATCGTTTGGTCCCAATTCAACAGATTCAAAACAGAAATGTATTCCCTGGTCTTCACATTTCTGTTCACCATGCATTCTTCTCATCTTTCGCCTTATTCTGTCCGGGAATGCAATCTTACGTATGGATTCATCCTGCCTCCTGGCCCAGAAAAGGTAGAAGCAGCATCGGAGATAGCCTGACAGGGGTTGTTCTGAGCTGGGTGTCTACACTCCTCCTCCACCTCCCTCCAAGCTAGCTTCCAGACCAGGCCCATAAAACCCCATTCTAAATAAGGTTATCTACCCTATCTTCCAAGCCTTCCCATGTCAAGCCTGAGAAACTTCCACCAAATCTTTGTTCAAAATCAGACCCCAGACCGTTACAAGTCCTGCCCTCTCTACACTAGTAGCCTAAGCTACTTGGCTACTTCTCCTCACCTCCACGCAGGCTTCTCTCAAGTCAGAAAGGCCTGAGCCTGATTTTGTCAGCCAGCTATTGTCCTGGCAAGAACAACCACCACACCAAGCATCCCCATTCAGTCAGCCAGTCAGCCAAGTTCTCCTGGTCTCGCCAGCCCCCTCCCCCAACCCCAGCCGCCCCGCCCCAGGGAGGACCTTGCTGGTGGCTGGGAGTCTCCCGGCTGCTCAACCTCCCTTCTTCCCTCCCTTGCTCTCCCTGCTTCCCTCCCTCCTCCACCCGCCCCTCGGGCAGGGACTGTGCAAATCGAGGAGAGGGGAGGACCAACAGGCTACACAGGGTCCAGCTAAGGGGCCACGACTCCTCACTGAGACCCTATCCAAGCTAGGTGTTCCCCGCATCGTGGAACCTGGATTTGTGTGGAGCGGGGTGATTCTCGGGCAAGGAAGGTTCTTCCGGCAGGTCCACCATACCTTCGTCTCGCATCAGGACCCCCCTTGGATGCTCCGAGCCACCCTTCTCAACCCGGATCTAAAACCTGGGACACGGCTATCAGGCCAGCCTCTCTCTCCCTCCACCCCTCCCCCTCTTTCTGGCGTCCATCCCCTCCCCAACACCACCTCTGCTGCTGCCTCTGGCTGTGGACTTGCACCTCTTCTCCATCCTCACCGGGCCGGGAGAGTGGGGTTAGCCTGGATGAGAGTGTGCCCCTAACCTGGGGCCCTCCCAGGCCATGGCTCGTGTGCTCCCAGGGAGGAGTCCAGGACCCTGAGCCTCTGCTAGAAGCTTGGCAGAGGCCCCGCTGGGACCGTGTCTTCTGAGGACAAAAGGCTGCGGCCAGCAGGCAGACTGGGTGGGGGTTGGGGGGGAACCGGCAGGCAGGCAGGCAGACCAGTAGCAGAGCTAGCTCTGGCCCCCTCCCAGACTGGTGGTGGCATAAAGATGGGGGTGGGAGTCTGTAGCGGGAGAAGCACCTACCAGGACCCCCATCTGCCCACTACTTGGGCACCCCAAAGCTGTGTGCTGCCCACCTGGTGTTCCCCAGCATCTCCAGCTCTACCAAGTGCACCCCTCTGGCACCTGCTTCCCCTGCTGCCAGCGATTTAGACCAACCAGGCTGTATCCACGGCAACAGAAGCAGGAGTGTCACTGGCTGCCAGATCACTGAGGGTCCCACAATGTGGCCTGGACTGTGGTTTATCCTGCTTGAGATCGAGTGAGTTCCCTTCCTGAATTCCAAGACGGTCCTGCTAAGAGAACCCAGGTAAGTAGTCTGTATCCTTCCGTGAAGGAGCCGGGGAGGAGGGTAGCTGGGACTTCTCTTCTGTCCCCCCACATATTTCAGTCTCTATCACTGTCATGCTTTCTGTCTGTTAGTCTCTCTGCTTCATCACTGACTATGACAACACTCAAGCCCCAGGACTGCCGATCTTTCCCCATCTTCCTTAATCCGTCCCGTTAGAAAGGGAACCACCACCTGTTTCCCCACCCCCAACCCCTAACAGGGTCTGTTTCTATCCGCGTGGTCACATTTAGACACAAGACAATTCCTTGTGTGCTAGCTGTGGAAGGGGTACCTGGGTGCCCAGTGAGTCTTGTTCTCACAATGCCTGCAGCTTCCTTTCCTCCCTCCTTCACCCTTCTCCAGGTTCCTTGGCTTGCAGAATTGTGTGTGAGCTCTTTCGTTCTTTCTTTCTTTCTTTCTTTCCTTCCTTCCTTCCTTCCTTCTTTCTTTCCTCCCTTCTTTCTTTCTTTCTTTCGCTCTCTCTCTCTCTCTCTCTCTCTCTCTCTCTCTCTCTCTCTCTCTCTCTCTCTCTCTCTCTCTCTCTCTCTCTCTGTGTGTGTGTGTCTGTGTAAGAGAGATAGAGACAGAGACCCTAGTCAGCAAGCAGGTGGGTAGCTATGGCAAGAAAGCCGCTTCTAGAGCAGACCAGCCCTCATTCCTTCCTTTATTCTTTTCCCAGTTTCTACCCACAGGTAATATACTTTTGCTCACTCACCCTGGAAGATGTGTCCCAGCTAGTGGGAGGAAGCTACTATAGGAATAGAGGAAGGTAAGGTGGGGGGTAGGGAGCACATTCAGACCATGGGCTCTGAGAGAGCTTGAACATGTCCCCATTACAATACACAGGGGAAAGGAACAGCATAATGGTTCCCACACTGTGGGCCCTGGCTTCTATCACATGGCTCTCTGTTTCTGTTTCAGATACCCATAATGTGTTTGGGACCTCCAGATCAATGACACAGTAGCCAGAGGTCCCTGTATCTGGAAGTGCAGGAAAACCTGGTATACGGAGAACATGGATTCTACTAGGGACACATCTCCTAACTACTAAGCTCTCAACTTTAGTGGAGGCATGTCACTTGTTGAACCTTGTTTTTCCCATTTGTCAAAGAGACTGGTAACCCTTTCTTTGTGAATGTGTGCGGGGATTAAATAAATTGATGCATGCAAATAATTAAACGTGTGCATGGCACCGAGCAGTGTCAGCAAAGCTCAGGGTCAATATTATTGCTGGTTGTTCGTGATTAGTGTTGCTATTGATTAGGGAAAGGATTAGCACCTTTTCTCCAGGGGCTCAGCAGAGCTCTAGAGAAGGCAGCAGGTGGAAAGATGGAGGGAAATAGAATGGCATTATTGCTGTTACTTCTCATTTGTCAGGAATGATGGGTAGTGTAGGCAGTCATTCTCATCCTACTTGGGGTTCTTCCCCTCCTGCATTTGTCCCTGTTTATGTACACACACTTACACATACACAACACACACACACACACACCAGACTGTGAGCCAGCAGAGGCCTGGCTTACAGCCTGCAGCATTCCTGGCCCTAGTATGTGTCCCTCTGTTGAGGGAAAATTAGCAAGAGTTTGGCTTATGGTCAGTGGCTGGCAGGGACAGGAGACAAGGCTGAAGCTTTTGAGATTATAGCTTTGAGTAGAGCTGGGGTGTGGTCCATGCAGTAGCCAAACCTGCAGTGGAGTTTGTCCATCTAGACCCTGGGCTGGGGAGATTGGAGTTTCTGAGCTAGTTTCTAGATAGGGAGATGTGGTAGAATATCAAGGGGATGGAGATCAGCAGAGGAGCCAAGAGCGAAGAGACTGAAGACAGATTTATTTCTGCTGAGGGCCAGGAACGGCCAGGACCTTTAGACATGAGTAGACTTTCCTGAAGAAGCATTTGATGTGGAAGGGAGAGAATCTAGCCTGTTGCCCAGGGGCATCTGGACCTAAAACTAAGAATATACATGAAAAGAAGTGTATAGTCCGTGTCTCATCACTGCACTGTAGGTGTATATGAGTGGTGTGTGTGTGTGTGTGTGTGTGTGTGTGTGTGTGTGTGTGTGTGTGTGTGTGTATGAGAGAGAGAGAGAGAGAGAGAGAGAGAGAGAGAGAGAGGCAGGGAGGGAGGGAGGAACGGAGGGAGGGAGGGAGGGAGGGAGGGAGGGAGGGAGGGAGGGACAGAGGGACAAAGAGAGAACAGACTATGTGATGGCATATGGGATTGTGTGGGTATCTGGATAGCTTTGTGTCTTTCCTGGAGGGTATGGTTTTGCATATCTGGTAAGCAAATGGTCATGTTTGATTTTGACCCAAATATTGAATATTGGTGTGTTTCTCTGAGCCTATATTAGGCCTGTTGAATGTTTGTTTATGTGTGTGTGTGGTATCAATTTGTCTTTGAACACACATTATCTGATCATATGTATGAGTAAATGAAAGCCTACTTGGATCTCATTGTGAATAGTCCTGTTTTCCCACATGTGCCTTTCAGTGTGGGTTCATCTAAATATGTGTGAGCATAAAGACATATATGTGTCCCATGCATGTAGAAGAGGATGTGTGTGTGTGAACATGCTTATATGTGTTGTGGGTGTGGCTGCCGTATATTTGTGTGAATAGGCTTATGTATGAAAGTCTGTATAAATTCATTCATAGCATTTTTCATTATGTCTGTGTCTGCATGTGCATGTTTGAATGCCCACTGTCTCTCAACAGACCTGTGTGTTCGTATCTATTTAAAGAAATGTAAGTATAAATAGGCACACTGAGATGAGGGAAGAGTGGATGAATGAAAAATATTTTATGTGTGCACACTGGACTACATTTTTAAATATGACTGTGGGGTTTTACACTGCTCACAAGGTTGTGTGCATAGGTGAATAGGTTCATTTGTATAATGTCTAATTTGGTGTAAGTGTATATCTGATTATGGTATGCATGAGTAGCCACATTTCATAATACTTGGGTGCATGTGTCTTACTATGTTTTTATTTGGATTTTTATTATTGAGTGTGACTGTATATTTGAATATGCTTTGAATGATTGTGCATATATATGCTATTATTTGTTAATACTTAACTATGCATACATTCACATGAATATATCTGTACATAGGCATGTGTGATCAAACACAATTAAGTGTATATCTTTGAATAGGCCTGTGTGTGTGCCTGTCTGAATACACAAATGTGTGAAGTACCAGTTTGCACAGTTCTGGTTTGAATTTGTATGTTTGTATTTATCTTTGTTTGGTCTAAAGCATATGTTATAGAATGATGCATATAAATCTCTGTGCATGCCATTCTTGGTTCACAAGCACATTTGTGTATGTATGTGTGTCTGTGCATCCATTTAGATACCTTTGCATATATGTATGTGATAAGTTGATCAAACCTTATGCAGATCAACAGGTGTATGTGCAAGAATACATGAGAGTACTTCTATATGTGCATGTATTGAAATATGCTTTTGTGTTCTATTCCAATGTACATATAAGTTACTCTTCTTTCATTTATTTATGTAGCTTCTCAGAAGGGTGTATGGACATAATGGTGTATATATACCTGACTGTGATCGCGTGCTTTTGTGAGTATAACTATTTCTATAGTTCATTGTATACATATAAAAATGAATTAATGTATGTACAAGTCTATAAACATACGAATATGCTGTGTATGTACATGGTCAGTTATGCATACAAGTCTATGTGTTATAATACCTGCATATGTATACATAATCTCATTTACAAGCATTTACACATCTGGGTATGGATATGTGTGAGCACACCTATACATATATGTCTGTATGTATGCATGCATGCAAATATACTTCTGTGATTATGTTTGAGTGTATACGTATACATGTTTGGGAGCCCCCCTTCTGTGCCCCCATTTCCTTATTATCTCTTCAGATATGATCCATATATTTTTACATATCTCTGTAGATATGTAAAAGTATGTCTGTGTACTTGTGTTTGTGAGTGAATGCAGGTCATTCATGAGTAAATCATGTGAATATAGTACATTTAAAAGAATAAATGGATGTACTTGGGACTAAGTCCAATGGAAATGTGCCTGTGGGGGGGTAAATAAAGGTATTTGTGCCTCTGCCTGTCTGATATGAGATTTGGCCTTGGCCTTGTGCAGACTGACCTCTATGCAAACCTTCTACCCAAACCCACCCATCTTTCATCTCGCTCACACCACATGGGTGCGCTTACTTTCTGCACAGCATTCTGCGCGTGCTCGCTAACGAGCACTGGGGGACATGCTAAAACATTGAAACATAAAAATCTCCCTTCCCATCCCGCCACTGCCAAAGGCATAGGGCAGAATGGCATCATAATAGTGCCTAGGGTTAGTTAGAGCTTTGGTTGGAGTGTGTGTGTGTGTGTGTGTGTGTGTGTGTGTGTGTGTGTGTGTGTGTGTGTGTGTGTGTATGAGAGAGAGAGAGAGAGAGAGAGAGAGAGAGAGAGAGAGAGAGAGAGAGAGAGAGAAGGGAGAAGAGAGACAAACAGACAGATAATGTGAGAAAGTCTGAATGTGCAGCATCTGGACATTTCACAGACAGCAGCAAATTATGGCACCAGGCAGAAATCTAGATGTTAAGAAATATGTTTAGGCGAAAGTATATCTTAGGAAAGTAGTGGGTATTGGGGGCATGAGTGTGTAGAGTATGTATATGTAAGGGATTATATGTGTTTCTGGCTAGGGTGTGCATGTGAGATAATTGTGTATATTAGGGAGGGAAGGATTTTTTGAAACACAAAGATACACACACACATCCCACCCAAATATTTTCAACTGTCACACAAACAATCTGCGTATACCTCTACACAAACCTACTATCCAAATCCACCCATGCTTTTATCTCCTCCACACCATATGGATGTACCCGACCCACACTCTGCACAGTACTTCCCACACAGATATGCCTTAAACACTTTCTTCATACACTCAATCCAGTTTTCATCAGTAGACTCAGTGAGCATGTGTATTGGGATGGCACATGTTTATGAGATGTAGATGTATCCTGATGGTATATGAGAAAAAGTGTATGGATACATTCAGGCTGTTCGTGAGACAATATGTGGGTGCATTTGGAAAAGGATTTGAATGTAGATGTGTTTGAACAGTGAGCAGGTCAAAGCGTGAATATACTTCGGTGGCAAAGTGTATGTGAGAGAGACAGAGAGAGAGGAAACGGATAAACGTGAGAAAGCATGAATGTACACATCTGGACAAAACTTGTGTTTGAATGTGAGTTCTCTAAATTAGGTTAGTATCTGGGTGATATATGAATGTATGTGTCTCTGTGTGCATATATTTGGCTTGAGAAATTGTGAATATATCTAGGTGGGGTGTGTCTAAGTGCAGTGTCTTTTGGAGGGTACGTATGTCACCTTGGGTATATTCTGGGATTGTGTGCATTTGAAAGAGATTGTAGGTAAACCTAAGATAGGTATGAGGACTCCAAGTTGGGGTGGGGTTAAGTTATGTATGCTGAGTTAGAGATTGTATAAGTGTGGCATTAATTGGCTAGAGTGATTGTAAGGGTAAGCATATTTGAGGTGATTATATATGAGAATGGATGTATGGAAATTGAATGTGTGTGAAAGTGTGGGTGTATTGGTGTTGGCTATATGTGTGACAGTGGGTGTTTCTGAGCAGTGTGTGTGAGAAGGAAAATGAATGTGTGTATATCTGGGTTTGGGGCTTGTGAGAATGTGGGTATATCTGACTAGGATATGTGTAGTTCTCTGGGTGGATGGGGAAGAGAGAATCTAAGTGGTATGTGTGAGAGAAAGAAAATATTTGTGTGAAGAGTGAATCTAGCACGTGTGAAGGTATACCTGGATAGTGTGTGCTTGCATGGATTTCAGTTGGAAAGATAACTAACATGGATTTATGTGGCTGTTTTATGGGGGCTGTATTAGATGTTTTGTATATCCAATAGTGTAGTTATTTATGAGCAAAGTTTGTAATCATGATCACACAAGAATATATTTTCTAGGACATATATATCTCTGGCAAAATGTCTATAATGTGAACTTGTCTATAACTCGGTATGAATGACCATTTGTACCTAAGTTTATTAGTAAATAGGAACTAACTTGTGTGTGCAAGTGCTATATGGTTTTATAATATATATGCATATACATTATATTATAAAATTTATGTTTGGGGTAAATATATTTCTTTGTTTTCTATTTTTTTAATAATTTACTTAATTTTATTTTATGTACATTGGTGTGAGGGTGTCAGATCCCTTGGAACTGGAGTTACATGAGCTGCTATGTGGGTGTTGGGAATTGAACCCGGGTCCTCTGGAAGAGCAGCCAGTGTTCTTAATGGCTGAGCCATCTCTCCAGCCCCTGTGGTGAATATATTTCTAATTGTGAATTGGGTCTCCAAGGTCTCTAGAGACAGCCTTTCGGTTAGTGTTTATTAAATGTGTAGTTGGGGGGAAATCACATAACCTCAACAAAGCCCCAGTCTCCAGTCTATAAAATGGAAGAAATAAAACTCCCTATCATGTAATGTTAGGATAGGCAAAGTTAATACACTAGGAATGCTTGTAACAGTGCCTAACATGTAATAAGCCCTCTCATAAGGAACTGCTTATTAAAAGTAACAACAGTATATTACCTGTCTGTATCACCTGTGTATATACCTATTACAATTATCCCTGTCCTGGTGGCTAACGGTATGCATTCATCTACAAGTGCAAAGAAGATTTTCATATGCATATTTGCCTCATTATATGTGCCCACATGTATGTCCAAGAAAATGAGCCTGGCCTCTTTTTATGTAAGAGTATGTTTATACATGAAAATTAGTTTATAAAGTATCTCAGTGTTCATATAGAAACACAAACGGGTAAGGAAAAATGTGCGCAAGGCCAAGTGGAAGGGCATTCAGCTTTTTGTGTATATTTGCTCATATACTCTGGGTGTATGAGTGCACACATCCCATATGTATGATAATGCAGTATCTGTGAGAATGCAGGTATATCGACATGTGTGAACATGAATGAATCCGTGTACACATGTGCCAGTGTATTTTTATCTAATTAGGGAATTAGGTTTCTAGTTACCAGTATGTACATGCGTGGGGGAGAGGGTCTCTGTTCCATCTGTAGAATTCAGAAGGCTGCTGTACGTGATGAGTGCAGTGGAAGCATTTATGTGGTGTGGGTTTGTGTCTATATGGCCATCTATTAGAATGTGTGCATCTGTGTTGTTCAGTGAGGGTGGAATGTGTATGCGTGAATGGATGTGTGGGCATCTGAAGATTTGTGTTTGTATGTTTCTAAGCCTCAGTGGTTATGTAGGTTAAGGATGCGTGAGTCTGAAATATTTCATCTGCTTGATTGCCTCTCTGTGCAGCTGTGAAGACTGAGTAATATGCCTGCAAGTATGTCTATGCCATCTATATGTAAGTGACTGTGTGCCAGGGCATATTTGTGGATGTGGCTTTTTAGAAAATAGTAGGTTTGGGGTCAGTGAGATGGCTCAGTGGGAAAAAAGGTGCCTGCCACCAAGGCAGACAACCCGAGTTCAACACCTGGGACCCACATAGTAGACAGAGAGAACTAACGCCATACGTTGTTCTCATACTCCTGTTTGTGTGCATGAAGCACAGGGGAAAGCACATAAATAAATATTCTTTAAAAATAAAATGTACGCCGGGCGGTGGTGGCGCACGCCTTTAATCCCAGCACTCGGGAGGCAGAGGCAGGAGGATCTCTGTGAGTTCGAGGCCAGCCTGGTCTACAAGAGCTAGTTCCAGGACAGGAACCAAAAGCTACAGAGAAACCCTGTCTCGAAAAATCCAAATAAATAAATAAATAAATAAATAAAATAAAATGTAATAGCTTCAGTGTCTCGTGTAAGAGCTGGTGGTGTGAGGCAGAGAAAGTCTAGTTCTATAGGACATGAGCAAAACTTGACCACTGTCTAATGTCAGTTTTTATGCCCTCACATGCAAGACTGTGTCTCAAAGTGTAAATCCATGAAATTAGGTTTGTGTATATGTGCATCTCCAAGTTCCCTTTGATGTACCTTTTTTGGCTTTTTTTGAGACAGGATTTCTCTGTGTAACAGCTTTGGCTGTCCTGGAACCTGCTTTGTAGACCAGGCTGGCCTTGAACTCACAGAGATCCATTTGTCTCTGCCTCCCGAGTGCTGGGATTAAAGGTGCGTGCCACCACATCTGTCTTCCAAGTGCCCTTTGAATGGTGAGTGTGTCTCTGCCTTTGCCTATGCTGTCTGTGCATTGTATATCCTTGAGTGATTCGCTGCTAAGTGGGTACCAGATCACATCTCTACTTTCCTCGAGAGAGAGACTAATTGTATTTATCAGTCGATTTAACTCTGAGTATGAGATCAGACTTGAATGTCCTGTGCCCATATGTATATATTTATCAGTGTGTGTTAGTGTTTACATGCAATGTGATTAGATGTGAGTGGTTTAGGGCATACACACAACTCACCATCCAGAGTAAGTACGGCACACTAGAGTAAGCTATGTAGCAGTATAGGAGCTTGATGAAAAGAAATTCCTTACTTTTTCTTCATATTATACAATTATAAGGAAAAATTGCTAAGTTTTAGGGGATTTATTAAATATTGAATGTATGCAGCTTTCAAATAAAATCTTTTTGCAGATTAGTTCATGGTACACAGGAGTGCATAACATCTCTCCTCCCTCCCTCCCTCCCTTTCTTTCTCTCTTTCTTTTTCTGCAACAGGATCTTGCTGGCCTAGAGCTCACTGTGTAGCCCAGGCTTGCGTTAAACTTGCAGCTTCCTCGCAGAGCATGGTGGCACACAGCTTTAATCCAGCACTTGGGATGCAGAAGCAGGTAGGTCTCTGTACATTTGAGTTCTGCCTGGTCTACATCATAAGTTTCAGGACAGCCAGAGCCACGTCGCGAGACCCTGTCTCAAAAAACAAACAAACAAACAATTGTTTCTTCCTCCCAAATGTTGTGTTTACAGGCATGCAATGTGCCCAGCTCTCAGTATTTAAAAAAAAAAAAAAAACAAAAACAACAACAACTTTGAGGCAGTATCTCACTACTTAGCCTTGGCCAGCCTAGAACTAACTATGGTGACCAGGCTAGCTTTAAAAATCATAGAGATCCATTTGTCTCGGCCTCCTGAGTGCTGGGGTCAAATACTCAGCTGAGAGTATAACTTTTTTATTCACTAATGGGAGTCCACAGTGGTCAGCATCTGTGGCCACTCTTTTTGAACCCTTAGTCACTACTACCATGGCTTGTTTTATTGTTTCATTCATTTTTTGCTCATTTTTCAATCTGGACTTGCTAAATCTGCTGGTGCTACATCAGGCAATTGTATGTCTTTGCGAAAGCTCCAAACAACAACAACTACTTGAATGTCTGGAACACAGCTCTATGAATCTGTAGGTCAACAAAGCCTTCTAGAAAAAAGCCACTTGCCATGGCAGCACAAAGACCTGAGTTCAGCTATCCGGAGCCCCCTTGAAGCCAGACACAGCAGTGTGCATATTGAATCCCAGTGTACCTCCACGAGGTAGGGAGTGGAGACAGGAGAACTTTACAGAAGTTTTGGGGCTAGCTAGCACTGCACAGACAGCAACAAACAATAAAGACCTTGTCTCAAAGTGGAAAAAAAGGAAGCAAGATTGACCCATAAGATCGTCCTCTAACCGCCACACACATGTACCCCTACACACACCATGCACACACATATATGCATAAAATTCTTGTAACAAGTGTTCGTGAATTGTGAATCTAACATAATTTTCAGTATTTCAAAATTCTGAAGAAACTTTTCTTCTAAGTCCACATAAACTTGGCTCTATACATGTTCTGTCGTTCGGATTGCACACCAAGTAGACATAACTCCCGGAGCCATACTTAATCACCGTTTTCCTTCTTTGAAATTTTACTTTGACCCTGTAAGCCTTGTCAGTGCTGTCTACCTTGATATGCAGTATTTTGAGTGTTTGCAGTGCAGTGCAGTGCCGGGTGTGTAGCTTAGCTGGCATGGTGCTCACTTATCCTGCTTAAAGTCCTGAGTTCAATCCCCAGCAGCCTATAAACCAGGTGTAGTAGTACACGCCTGTAATCCCAGTACTGGCGAAGTAGGGACGGGGAGGTTCAGAAGTTCAAGGTTATCTTTAGTTACATAGAGTTCAAAACCAAGCTGGGCTACACAACACCCTGTTACACAAAGGAAAAAAGAAACCAGATAGCTATTGTTTTCTATGTAATCCTAGTCTCGTGTGTTCAAAGAGGAACATGCTGAAGCCTGTAAGTATTAAATCTGCAAAGTAAGAAACACACACAAAAAAGTAACTGGGTGCTTCTTTTAACTCCTCCTACCTTTTAAAAATTAACATTTGACAAGGGTGGTGCACACATGCCACTAAGCACAAATGGAAGTCACAGGACAACGTGCAGGAGTACATTCTCTCCACCATGTGGGTCTCAGGAGTCAAACTCGGGCCTTCAGGCTTGAGACCGAGTGCCTTTGCCTTCTGAACTATCTTACCACCCCTCATATTTTTTACAAAATTTCTACACACTTAGATTTAAAACAGAAAACATGTATGATTTCAATTCTTCACACAAAACTAAAAGATACATGGAAACAGTCTTGGACTTAGTTAAACCCATCACTTAGTTCATCATTTCCTGTGGAAATCAGACTTACAAAGTTTTACGAGTGAGTCTGGTATCATCGTATCAGTAGCATCTAGTCTGGTCTACAAATCGAGCTCCAGGTCAGTCAAGGCTACATAATGGGACCCTGTCTCTTAACAAAACAAAATAAGAGTAGTACCGATCCATAGATCTATACAATTTCCATAACACTTCAAACTATTCATGGATAAATTTGCATATATTAGTCTTAGTTTATATTTGTACTAATGGCATTTCTCTTCAGGGTCTCTGACTACTACTATTGTCCTAACAGGGACAGACACATCCAGAAATCAATATATCGTGAAACTCCTTTCAGTTCAACAGTTTTTAGGTTAGTACCATCTCTGACCTGTCGCCAGTGTGTCTCCTAACAGCAATAACTGAAACTGTCCCTTGGCCTATTTCCTTTAGCTCATCCATCCCAAACACATTGTGGACAATTTCCCTGCAGAATGCTAGCATGTAAAATTTTGCTTGGCTTTTCTTGTTAACCTTGCAACGCTGTCACTAGCTGACTGAGCTCTATATAAGAATAGTCTAATCATCTCATAAAAAATCTTGGTTTCTTTTCTTTTTTGTTGTTATTGTTGTTTTTGCTTGTTTGCTTGTTTTAAAGACAGGGCTTCTCTGTGTAACAGCTCTATCTATCCTGGGACAGGCTAACTTCTATCTCAAAGCTTTGCCTGCCTTTGCCTCCCAATTGCTGAGTTTAAAGGCATGCACCACCATATCCAGCTTTGGTTTCTTCATTTGCACTACCAAGTACTTTAAAAAATTTATTTAAAATTTATTTTACATGTATAAGTGTTTTGCCTGTGTGTGTGTATGAGTACTTTGTGTATACCTGGTGCCCACAAAGGTAATAGAGTGTCAGATCTTCTGGAACCACAGTGTAGATGCTGAGTACCAAACCCAGGTCCTCTCCAAGAGCAACAAGTGGTCTTAATGTCTGAGCCAGCTCTCCAGCCCTTTGCTTTCTTTTTTTAAAACTCGCAGAGTCTACTTAGTGCTTCCAATATGAACCATCTCTCCAGCCCCAAGTGCTTTTTAAAAAAAAAAATCTGAATCTGGAGCTGGAGAGATGACTCGGAGGTTAAGAGCACTGGCTGCTCTTCCAGAGGACCCAGGTTCAATTCCCAGTATCCACAAAGCAGCTCAGAACTGTCTGTAGCTCCAGTTCCAGGGCTTCTGACACCCCCATATACATGCAGGCAAAATATCAATGATCATAAAATTAAAAAATAAATTAAAATTTTTTTTAACCTGAATCTGGCTGGGCAGTGGTGGCACATACCTGTAATCCCAGCACCCAGGAGACAGAGGCAGGTGAATCTCTGAGTTGAAGGTCAGCTAGGTCTACAGAGTGAGTTGCAGGACAGCTGGGACTAATTTTAAAAAAAAAATGAATCTTAACTCACGTGGGGGCACATGCTTGTAATCCTAGTATTCAGGAGGCAGGAGGATTATTAGGAGTTTAAGGTCACCTGCACCTGAGGCTGTATAGTGACTATGGTGATTACCAGCCCATCCATGGATAGCCAGACCTGGTTTTAAAAAAATCCAAATTAACATCTCTCTCTACTCGTCCCTCTTTACTTCCCCTTTCTCTTTCTGTCTCCTCCCCGCTTCTCCTTCCCCCCTTTCCTATCTCCCTCAGCAACCCTCAAGGCCCCCTACATGTCAAGCCAGCACTCTACCTGCCTTTAAGCGGCATGCCCAGCCCTTATATATTTTGATTGAAGGGGACAGCAGATCTCTGTGGCTTCTGAAACTGAATTTTCATTACATTTTTAGAAAGGAATACTGAGACAAAAAATCATAAAAATCCTAGGCTGATCTTTGATGCATCAATTCAGTTAAACTATTATCTTAGTTTGCTTTCTATTGCTGTGAGAAGGACCATGACCAAAAGCAACTTGGGGAGGAGAGGGTTTGTTTCAGTTTAGATCGTACAGTCTGTGATGAAGGAAAGCCAGAACAGAAACATGCAGGCAGAAACTGAAGCAGAGCCATGGAGGGGTGCTGCTTACTGGCTTGCTCCTCCTAGTTCTGCTTTCTTATACAACCCAAAACTACCAGCCCAGGGAGGACACTGCCCACGTCAATCATTAATCAAGAAAATGTCCCAACAGACTTTCCTTCCAGCTAATCTTTGGAGGCATTTTCTCTGTTGAGGTTCCCTCTTCCCAGAAGTCCCTAGCTGTGTCAAGCTGACAAAGAAACTAACCAACACAACCAACATCCGGCTTCACTGATTCATCAACAAATAGTTTTACCTAAAACTATGAGGCCATAAACATAAAATACCATCAAGAATCAGATTTGCCTAATTCCTAATAGGAGATACCAATAGTGAGTAAGAGGATAAATAGAATAGGAAATAATTTTTAAAAATGTTGTGTTATGATGTTTACAGAGGAACCCTCATCTTTTCAAAACAGATAGCAAAATGTCTATGGGTGACATAGAATAATAAATATGGTTTACAAAACTGAGGGCTAAGAGAAGTGGATAGGGTATGGGCAGAAGAAGCCTGGCTTCTGAGTTCATAATTGGTATATCTGGACATTGAATCCACCAAGGTTCATTGCGATGTTCCTGCTTGCAGCTTTAGGTTTAAGGTAACTATAATAAAGAGTTCTTTTTATGAAGAAATAACAATCAAGGGAATTAACTAAATGATTATATTCTGTTTAAGAATACCAAAGAAATACATAATCAAAAATCTGAAGTGCTAGCCGGGCGGTGGTGGCGCACGCCTTTAAATCCCAGCACTCGGGAGGCAGAGGCAGGCGGATCTCTGTGAGTTCGAGACCAGCCTGGTCTACAAGAGCTAGTTCCAGGACAGGAACCAAAAGCTACAAAGAAACCCTGTCTCGAAAAACCAAAAAAAAAAAAAAAAAATCTGAAGTGCTCCACAATCTGAAAAAAAAATTTACTGCTAACATGACATCACAAGGAATAAGTTTCCCATCTTGTGATAGGTCACAGACAAAATGTAGACGCACTAAGATATTGCATAAAATTACCTTCATGCTGTGTGTAAGGTATATACAAAACACAAATGCATGTTTACATTTAGGTCTCATCCCAAGATCATCATCTGTATCTATGCAAATATTCCAGGATCTGAAAAAGTCCAGCATCTGATACTCACAAGCATTTTTGGATAAGAGATAAGCCAACTGTAGTCCGTAACAATACTCATATAGCACTCCTGCCTATCCTCTTCCCTTTCCTCCCTCCCCTCTCCCTCCTGTGAGCCTATGGATGCTAAGCAAGTGCACTACCACTGAGCCACACCCCAGGCCCCAACTTTCTCCTTTTGTCAGTGAGGAAAAATAAGAACAAGAGTAAATTAAAAGAAAACAAACACCACACATGTAGATATCGGCCAAACCAAAAACCTCATGATAAATAAGCGGGAGGTAACCATCAAACTCTCTGGAATGTTTTGATAAGAAGCATCTAAAACACAGTGTACTTCTTGCCACAGCCTCCTGCACCTGTTCTTACTTGAGTTTCCTGGTGTGGCAAGCACCTACGAGCCGGGCAGCTCTGCTCAGGTTTCCACATATACCTGCAGGAGTTAGCTCATTTGTGCACACGAGTAGATAGCTGCTGTTGGCTATGTATATCAGGTAATGCATGTGAGAGCAAATTGGTATGCTTACACACATTTGCCCAGGTGCAATTGTCTCTTTATACTCCAGTGTCTGCACATGCAAGCGCGTTTTTGTCTCTGTATTTGATTGCGCTTGCACGTTGCTGAAATGTGAGAGAGAATGATGCTCGCTATTCTTTTGGGAGCATGTTAGAGCTATTACACTTTTATTTATCAGAGAAAGCTTATCAGTTAATGAAGAGGGGCATATGTGTGCCAGGATGCACTGTATTGTTGAGTGTAGCTAGTCTATGTGAGGGGAGGTAAGTTGGTTCCATTGCGGTAGAGTATACTCATATATGCAAGCAACTTTTTGCTTGCCTGCAAATACACTTGTAGGTATCTCGGGGCTTATATCTGTATACATACCTGGGGAGCACATTTCAAGGGTTTGTGAACTTGATGATGTGAGTGATATTTAATCTGAATGTTAGTTTTGGAGCAGTGATTGTATACGTGATGCTATAGATATGCTGTTGTGAGATTTTTAATATGTGGGAGTATTTGAACAGTCAGATATATCAGCTCAGTGAGTATACGGGAGTCAAGGTATAAAATGACAGTAGGTTTGCTTTGTGTGTTTACTCATCGATTGTTTGAGTGTGTGTGTGAGTGTGTGTGTGTGTGTGTGTACTAGGAGCACCTAAGGGGAGGCAGGATTGTGATATGCGTGAGACAGTGTGTCAGTGTGTCTGGATTGATGACCAATTCTCAGCCCTCGCTTAGTGTGCCTTTTATGTAACAAGTTTGTTACATAAAATTTGTCCTTTACTATCTAAAAATGGAGTTTTTCGATAATATAATATTTCTGCACATGTCATTTCAAAGGAAGTCCATACTGTACTTACACAATATACATATTATACTAACTATAATACAAATAAGAATGATTTATAATAATTTTATTTGGATATGTAAGTGCGTAGGTGTGGCACACTTCAGGAGATTAAAGATAATAATTGGAGACTTGTAAGTGCTTGTAATAAGTAAATGTAGTTTAGAAGACAAATCAGGTTCACAAAGTACAGGAAAATGGCAGGCAGAGGCTTCATACTGAGATTTTACAAGCTAGTGAAGTGCACCAAAAAGCAAAATATAGTCTCCTCTTGATCACATGACAGCCATATTCCTGGATAATTCAGGATATGCTAAAACTAGGAGAAAGAAAATCTCATTTATCTTAATAAAAGAGATTATAGGCTCAGCTAATTATAAGCTCAAAATTCTAGGAGTTACAGGACAATGTGTTAGTAATGTCAGACTACTCCACATCTGGCTAAGTGATGAATGCTCTCTCTCTCTTTCTCTCTCTCCCTTTCTCCACCTCTGAATATTAAGATATCTTACATTAATATTAGGGCAAAAATTACGGCATCTTTGCACTAACATGAAGTCACCTACACCCCTTCCCATCCAGCCCCTCCCCCGTTCCTGAAGATTTCCAAAATGTCCCCTAGGGGGCAGTGATGCCTTTGAAAAGGACAAAGCCCTGTACTAAGACCAGGTAGACTGAGTACCAGAACTACTTCTATCTGTGCATGCACATTGTGACCGTGTGTGTGTGTGTGTGTGTGTGTGTGTGTGTGTGTGTGTGTGTGTGTGTGTGTGTGTGTGTGTGTGTGTGTTTCAAACGCCTGTGAGTATGTAGGTCTGTGCACAAGGGTGTC